CCCGGTCTTTCTCGTTGTTGGGAGAGATTGCGATCCCCTCCCTCGCATGCGGTCTTGTTCCCCGCATCCCTCGGGGGTTGGGATAATGAATTCCAAGCACCAAAGAGAGAGAAAGTAGCGGTAGAAAGGTAAGGTAAGGTAAAGGTAAGGAAGGAAGCTGGAAGGTAAGGGGGGGGGCACCCTCGCATCTCCACCGCCCGCGCGGACAGCGGCGGACCACAGCGCTCAGCGGAGCCTACACGCGCCACGCATATATGCCATATCAAAGTCGACACAAACAAGCGACAAAAGGCCCGCGGCCACCGCCGCCAGAGAGCAGAGTGGCCAGACCCCACTCGTGAGGGCGAGAGATTTTTGAAACCCAACAAGAAATCACGACCCTCACAACCCGATGCCCATCATCCGGCCCGCTGGGACCTGGGTGCGCTTCTGAGCTCCCCGGCCTCGAAGAGTCCCCGGCCCTCTGGCGGTCCACTCTGAAGACACTGCCGACCGCGGAGGGGTTTTGTCCCACAGGGTTTTACCCTCCGCGTGAGGATCGGCGCGGCGAGGGGGTAGGCTCGAATTCGCCGCGCAACATTTCACCCCCACAGGACCCCGCCCTCCCCCCCTCATGGTCCCACCACCTAGAACCCCAATCTTAGGCTTCGCACCCTCTCCTTGCGTGGTGTCCCCCGCTATGTGTCGCCGTTTTCGGGGGCACGCTATCCTGTGTAGTCAGGGCAAGTGGGGGCGGGGGGCAGTCCCTCTGGTCCGATACTGGTGTGGTTCTGTCTCTAGTCTCGGAGGGGGGCTTGAAGGTAAGAATATTTTATTTTCGAGTCCCCGGCCCTCTGGATGTGCGGTTGTGGTCGGTTGTCCGGTTGATGACATGCCATCAATGATGACAGCACTCGCCACTCCAGCAGTGCTCCAAGTCGGCAAGTGCTCACAGTTAATATTTGGGCTCGGCAGAACGCTGAACGGCACGTTGGGTCTCTCTTCTTGTCGTGGGGCGTGGGTGAGCAGACATCGCCAGAGCGAGCGCGCGAATCCGCACTCAAAACCAACGAACGCGGCCTCACGGCGCATACATCGTGATGACAAAAATCTCTCTCTACATGATGTAGTTTACATGTGTGATCTACAACTTTCTCTTTTTCTGGGCGCGGGGCGGCGGAGTATCTCTCCGGCGGTCAAGAGGAGATAAACCCCGCGCCCTCCGCCGCCGTCGCCGGCGGCAGCCCCGCGGCGGCTCGGAGGGCACTGAATTCGGCATCGCCCATGCCGCCGACCACCGCCTTACTCGTGACCATCATCGTGCGGCACACCTACTTCGCCGCAATGCTGCGCTGATTGCCGTGCGGACGCAAGCCTGCCGCTGCATTTGCGTGCCTCTGCCGCCGCGTCAAGGTGCTCCTGCGAGTCGTCGACGAAGAGGACCTACGGCGGCGCTCACACGGCCACACGTCGGCGCCGGGCCAAGCGAGTGGACCGCATGGCTCTGATGCGGCGGAGCTATAGCTACCACCGGCCACAGCCGTGGGCGCACCTCGGCGTGCGCCCAGCCGCGCGCGTGCATGATCCGCTTGATGAGCCGGCCCTTGACGAAGCCGAGCGAGCGCAGCTCCTCGCAGTCCTGCCACGCCGTGTGGGACTGTTGTGTGCCGCCGCTCACTCCTTCCCCTCTCTGCGTGCCACCGCCGTCCTCTATCTACCGCAGGCACGCCTGCCCCCACACGCGCTCCCCAAAGTACGGCAGCAGCCGCGCCGCGCGAAGGTGCGGGACGATGGCCGCTTTCCGGCCGATCGAGACAATGTGCAGCACGACACCGCTCGCCTCCAGCGCGCCAAGCAGCGTGTGGAGCGTCGCCAGCCGCGCCGCGCCACCGAGGTTGGCGATAATCTCGGCCTCGTCCATAGACTCGAAGAGCGGCAAGTTGTCGGCCACCGCCCATTGCTGCGCGCGCGACAGCCATGTCGGGGTTGACAGTGTCGAGTCAAAGTCGAGGACGAGCGCCTTGATGCGGGTCTGAGCGGCGGGGACGGCGAATAAGGAATATCTCGAGAGAAAACCTAGCAGCCTCGTGTCACGCCACCGCCTGCTGGGACTCGCTGCCTGCAGCCGCCATCGCCCACGCGATTGTTTTTTCTCCTTCCTCCCTTGTCGGCGCTTGTCCGGCCGTCCCTCCGAGCCCAACTTTCTATCAAAATTTATAAGAGCTTGGCGCGAAAATTTCCCTTGCTCCAAGCGCTTTGCGCTTCGGCGGGAGTGGATCCTAATCCCCCGAAATACCACGGTTCGGAATCGCTTCCTCATCCGCAAAACCCTGGTCAGCCAGTTCCACCCTACGGGGTAATGTTTCGTTAAAAAGCCTACCTTACCACCTGGAAAAAT